TCCAGGCTCCGAGCCATCAGCCCAGAGCCCGACGCGGGGCTCGAACTCACAGACCGCGAGATCGTGACCTGGCTGAAGTCGGACGCTTAACCGACTGCGCCACCCAGGCGCCCCATCTCTGGTGTTTTTTTAAAAAGGTTTGTTCTATTGGCCATGCTCTGCATATGCAGTGGAGTGTAGACTTTAGACATGGTGCAGATTGCTTTTACTCACTTGCCTGTCATTTTCTCCTGAGCTTTGTGAACACCTCCACCCGCATCACATCAGCTCCCTGTGTCTTCAGGGCTAAGCTGGGCATTTTCCCCTCTAATTAAATACCTTCTGGTTGATTCTTGAGCGACACTGCAGCCAGCTGTTCGCATTTCCTTCTTTTTCTTCCTAAGCCACAGCCTTTCACTGGTAGATGAGATGAAAACAACAGCTAATGTTCCCAAGTCCTTCAGTTTTCCATCCAGTGGACGCCCTCCAGTTTTCATGTGAATTGAGAGGTCTGGCAGCAGGCAGCACTTTGATAAGCACTGACTGGATTCTTGGATCACTCTTGATATGTTGTTCTAATAGGACATTACAAAAGTTCTTCCCCTCCAGATATTTCTGTGTATAATCTTTTATATTGGTTTTCAAGTGGGCTTGAAACCAAATGGGCTGTGAACGAGTTCCATTAGGTTTCTGGGAATACCACCTACCTGAGCAGCCTGTACCCCAATGTGCCCCCACCCCTGTGTGTTCCTGTGGCTTTCCTAGTCAAAGGGCTTGAAGGTTATCATAGAGTATATATTCTCTGCCAGAACATTAGCTCCTGGAGGCATTTTTCTGATTTTGTTTGTTAGTGTTTCCTGTCTGCACCATATTTGACATATTTGCTTGCATGTAGTCAGAATAGGTGCTCAACAAATGTTGAATGGATGAATGGAGAAACTGGACCAAAACTCTCTAGATTCTGCTTAGGGAGAAGTGGCCTAGGGCATAAAATGGATACTTGTTCCAAAGTCAGTTTGTGGTATTGCAGGGTGAGCCCAATCTCTGAAAGGACAAAGGCGGCTTTGTGAAGGCCAAAGGCCCTTACCACACATGCCAGTGAATGGATTGATGGCTCTGAAGATTTCACAGTAAATGTCTAGAGCCTGAGTGTTTTCTGTTTGTTTTCTTTTACTTATTTCCTTTTTAATCTCAAATATACATATTCACACTTAAAAGAAAACACAAAGACAAAACTCCCTAATTCCATAGAATGAGGTCCATGCAGTGGCTGTGGTCCTAATCATGGCACTGGCACAGGCACTGGCCAACTGATTGACAGGATCCCAGTGGGCCTGGCATCACTGGATCCATTGTTTGAGGTGGAGGGGCCAGGGCCATGTTCTCTGAACTTCCTGCATTCTTCTTGGGCTCACTTGAAGGAAAAGAAAGACTTTTCAAGCCCTTGGCACAAGTGAATGCCAGACTGAGCCGTGAGGCTGTCAGGTCTCTGAGGAACTCAGCTGCTGCTAGTGAAGGCATCCTCCCAGAGATAAATGCTATGTGAACATGGTTTCCCTGGATCGGGAAGGACAGGGAAAGGTACAGCAGGAGCAAAGGAAGACTGGATTGAGTGCAGTACAGTTTTGAGTGTCCACCGTGCACCAGCTGTAAACCCAGTGCTCGGGGCATTGTTTTCTAGTGTTAATTTTGAAAGTGAGTGAGTTTTATATTGTTCTGACAATCTTTAAAACAGAATTTCCCTCCTTCAGTGGGGGTCCATAGTTATTTCCTTTCTGAAGAGTTACAGTCTCCTGAAGGTGAAAAACTTACTTTCTTCACTGTTAACTTTAAACGTATTTTGTGACTTTTTGCCTAACGTTAACACTTTTTCTTTCTCTTCTTGATTATGTCTTAAATCTGTTTTTTCAGCTAAGATACGTATTGTACTTTTTTCTATTTGAATATTCTGTTCCCATTGATATCCCCATCAGTGCTCATAATTGCTACTTTCTCATTAACATTGATTGTTAATTGTTGGTTTTTGTTTGATGGCTTTACTGAAGCATAATTGACATACAGGGTAGTGCACATATTTAAAATATAAGATTTGATCCCTTTAAAAAATTTTTTTTTAAATGTTTTTAGTTATTTTTGAGACAGAGAGAGACAGAGCATGAACGGGGGAGGGGCAGAGAGAGAGGGAGACACAGAATCGGAAGCAGGCTCCAGGCTCCGAGCCATCAGCCCAGAGCCCGACGCGGGGCTCGAACTCATGGACCGCGAGATCATGACCTCAGCTGAAGTCGGACGCCTAACCGACCTAGCCACCCAGGCGCCCCAGATTGGATCCCTTTTAACATACATACATACCTGGGAAAAAGTCACCATAATCAAGATAATATGCATACCCCCTCACTTCCTAAAAGTTCCCTCATGTCTCTTCCTCCTCTTACCTTCTGTCCTCTGGCCACCACTGATCTGTTTTCCTTACAGATTCATTTGTATTTTTTTAGAATTTTATATAAACACAATCTTACTTTTCATCCAGCATAATTATTTTGAGATTAATTGATGATGTTGGGTGTATCAGTTCATTCCTTTTTGTTGCTGGGTAATATTCTGGTATGTGGACACAGCAGAATTTCTTCATCCATTCACTCACTAATGGACACTTAGATTGTCTCCAGTTTACGGCTCTTATAAATAAAGCTGCTGTGAACATCAGTGTATAAATCTCTGTATGGACGTGTGCTTTCATTTCTCTTGGATGAATTCCTAGGATCAGAGTGGCTGGGTCATATGGTAGGGGTATGTTTGTTTAAGAAACTGACAGACTTTTTCCAAAGCGGTTATATTGTTTTACATTCTGCCAGCTGTGTATGAGAATGCTCCAGTTGCATCATATCCTCATCAATACTTGGTATGGTTGTGTTTTTAATTTTGGCCATTCTAATAGGTGTATAGTGGTATTGCATTGTGATTTTAATCTGCAGCACTTTGAGAATGTCTTCTAGCTTATGTTTTTCTGGCAAGAAATATGCTGTCCGTATCTTTGACCCTGTGCTGGTGCTCCTCTCCTCCCCCTCTACCCCCGCTTTTAAGATGTTTCTCTTTTACGGATTTAAACAATTTGATTTTGGTGTTCCTTGGTGTACTTTTCTTCATGTTTTCCTTACTTAGGGTTCATTGAATTCTTGGATTTGTGATTTCATAGTTTTCATTAAATTTGGAAAAGTTTTGCTCATTACTTCTTCACATATTTTGTTTCGTCCTCTTGTTTACCATCCCCCTGAGAAATTCAAATATACATCTATTAGGCCATTTGAAGTCGTCTCGTACTTACTGGTGTTCTGTTTATTTTTTGCTCCAGTTCATTTAAAATCACTTCTCTTGTCATGTCTCCACATTCTCTCATCTCTGCAATGTCTATTCTGCTCTTGTTCCATTTCCAGGTTTCTCCCTCACATGTTCAGACTTTCCTCCAGCTTCTCACTGTCCTTATCTGCTAATTCTATATCATCTGTGATACCTGGGGCAATTTTGATTGATTAGCTTTTTCCTCGTTATGGTTCCATTTTTCTTGTTTTTTTACATGTTTAGTATTTTTCTTTTTCCTTTCTTTTTTTGAGTATAATTGACACAGTGTTACATGTGTGGTATTTTTTATTTAATGCCAGACATTATTGATGTTAGATTTTGTATTCTTATAAATAATCCTTGAGCTTTGTTCTGGGATGTTGTCAAGTTACTTGGAAATGGATTGTTTTTTTTTTTTGTTTTTTTTGTTTTTTTTTAGGTCTTTTAAACTTCACTAAATAGGGCCAAAGCAGCATGAAATCTAAGGGTACTTTTTTTCCTCACCACTGGGGTGGGAGCATTTGTGCCCCTTTGTGTGTTTTTTTCTGTCTGTGAGAGCAGGCACTATTACTGGCCCTCTGTGAGTGCCAGTGATCCATTTCAGAGATTTTTTTCTTCCAGCGGTAGGTGGTTTACTCACACTCATGCCCTGATCAGTGTTCAGGTGGAGATGTGACAAGGACAGTCTTTGGCAGGTATCCAGGTCTCTCTCTTACAGCTCTCCTCTCTGTACTCTGTCCTTTGAATCGCAGCCGGTGGATTGTCTCCCTGGACTCCCAGCAGGTGTGTTCGTGATGCTCTGCTTGGGCTCCCTCCCTGCCAATGGCTTGGGGCAGCTGGAGGGTGTACTGCTCTTATCAGCCAGAGATTATTGTCCTTCATTACATCTGTCCAGGGTTTTAGGTTGTGTGTGTGTTTACTTACCTGTGTGTGTATGTGTGCATTGTAAATGTTTCAGGTAAGCAAGGTAAATGTCGTGTCTGTAACTCTGTTCTGAAGTAGATTTTTTTTTAATTGCTCAGATGATTTGAATTCCATGCATTAACACACTAGGGCTCATTGGCCCAGTGCAGTGCCCTGGGGTCTGGTGGTAAATCTGGCTGGTGACCGAGGTTGGAAGGGCTGCCTTCTGCCTGCCATTGGCATGTGCTGCCTGCATCCTCAGCTGTGTGAGGTGTACACTTGATAGGGGTGAATCTACTCAGCATGAGAGCTGACACCTGTAGTTCCATTGTGCTTTTGGTTTCAGATTCATATTTGTATGTTTCACTTATTTTTTTTAGAACATCCTACCTACTCACATTTTCACATCTTTTAAGAATCTGTTTCTTTTCATGGAAAGCGTAGCTTTTTCTAATAAAGGGATTGACAGTGTTAATTTTTAATATCAGGTTTAAAAGCAAAATGCTCTTGTGATTACAGAATGATTTGTCTGCCAGATTTATCATTAGTGCAAACCATTTAAAACTATTTTCAATGTTTGATAATTAAGATTTTCTTAAGTCTGTGCTCTTTAACATAAAAATGTACTGTTAAAATTTTAGAACATATGAGAAAGTATAAGGAAAGAGAACATTTAAAGTTAAAGCCTCATATCAAGACAGAACTATTATTAATAATCTGGTGTACTTCCTTTTAGATGCATATATCTTTTCAAATTATTTTCCTACTTTGCATTTTAGTGGAAGACTTATGACCCTGCATTTTCCCAACTGGAAATTTGGTTCCGATTCGTCTTTGTGGTGCTTACCTTCATTGTCACTGTAAGTCCTGTTTGCCCGACAGACCACGTCAGGATCCTAACAAGGGCAGAGTTACTTTATGAATGATGATTACGGACATATGACCCACACAGGAGATTTATCTGAACTCTGAGACGCTCCATCCAATGGGCCAACCTGATATTACCAAATATTCTGTATGTCTGCTAGGATGCTGCAGGGCAAAAAGAACGACGGAAGAACTTCCATGTAATAGTGATTACAGATTGCTGACTTTTTTTTTTTTTTTTTAACATTTATTCATTTTTGAGACAGAGAGAGACAGAGCATGAATGGGGGAAGGTCAGAGAGAGAGGGAGACACAGAATCTGAAACAGGCTCCAGGCTCTGAGCCGTCAGCACAGAGCCCGACGTGGGGCTCGAACTCACAGACCGTGAGATCATGACCTGAGCCGAAGTCGGCCGCCCAACCGACTGAGCCACCCAGGCGCCCCAGATTGCTGACATTTAAGTAAATGCTCATCAGAATGCAAAGACCATGTCATTTAACCTGTGTGCCATTTAACCTAACTTGTTTGAATCATCTTCTTTGCATGTAGGCAGATACAGCAGGGACATTCTTTGGTTTTTACATGTGGGAAATCGTATGAGACCTTTCAGTCTTTGGGCGTTTTCAGGAGGCAGGCCTCAGATGAGTGGGTTTGGAAGTGCAAGCTTCTGTCTCATTTGCGGTCTGAGTTCAGCATCCACAAGCACCCTGTGACTTTGGGGAAAATGCTTACCCTTAAAGCACAAGCGTTCCCCACAAAGGCCCCATCAGTGCTGATGAGAATTTAAAACTGGAGGAGGAGGGGGTGTGCCTTGGTACTTAGTGCCATCCAAAGGGTGGTGTTCTGCCCATCAGCTGCTTGCCGCTTGCTGATGCAGAGGGTGTGACATTCAAGAGATCTGTTGAGTCTTTGCGGTGGTGGCCACTCCAGTCGCCACCCAGGGATCACTTGGTGCTTTACAATCTGACGGTACACAGCAGGACATAGGCTCGTGGGGGGTAGGCACGTGAGAAAAGTGCCAGATGGTGGTGACATGGGACCTGGGTGTGGATGGAGGGTGGGACATGGCCTCTGGAGTACAATAGAATATGCAGAGAGCTGGGGATTGCATTGCGTTCCCGGCCATGCTCTGGGCTCCCCAAGTGAACTACTAAAGGAAAGTGGAGAAGTGCCATTTATATTTGGTCAGCAGAAATCTTTGCTGTTTCTTGAAGCATCTCTAATGTCTGAGTTGCTGCTGCCACACTCTGGGGCCCAAAGAGCTGGCACCCAGGGCACTATGTTCATAAACCAGAGACATGAGCCTGAGCCTAACAGACCAGGAGAAATGGCCCATTGGCCCAGGAAGCCCAGATTGCTCAGAAAATCATTGGCATATGTAGATTAGAGAAACACAAAACAAAAAACTCCAGGTCTTTTTATACAGATAGTGTAATGTGTTAAAGTGCTTGAAAGAAACTTCTATGGCTCAATCAGTACACCTTCTTCAGGGACGTGTTTGAAAACATACACATCTAGTGACCATAGTTATTAGCCTCGTTCTCTTGGTTTTTGTTCGGGGACCCCCCAGTGCCCTCCTTACAAGCTATAGTCATCCTCAGATGTTGCATGGCTGGGAGTGTGTGGCCTGTCCCCAGGGAGGTCCTCTGTGTGGCTCTGTGGGGCCGGCCTTATAGAAGTAGCCTGTCCGGGAAGGGGGAGGGTGGGTGCTCTTCCCTTTTGCAGAGGGGTTATGGCCGGTATATATTCTCTGTCCCCACCTGCCACTACGAGAACAGCTTGTGGCCATCTTACCCGTGGCCCCTTGGCAGACATTCACCATCTCCTCTCCGTTGGCACTGATGGTCTCAGCAGGCAGTGCAACAAGGGGTCAACTTCGAGGTTTGGCTGACCATCAATTTGGGACGGCTTACCACGATACTAAGCAAGGTATACGCAAAAACAGTAACTCAAGTGCCTGATTTGGTCTGCAGTGCCTGTTTGCCCATTCCCTCCGGAAGTTTTCCATGAGAGACTGGGGGATGGAGCAGAAGTGGATGTCCATTCTTTTGCCTCTGCTGCTGCTTTACAATGGTAGGTGCCCGTTTTTATTTTGGAGCTTTCAGCTCTAAGGCTTAAAGCTGGAAGGTGTCCTAGAGAGAGTCTGGCCCCAGAGTCTCTAGAAGAGCGTGGGAGCCTCTGAAGGAACAGGTAGCAGCATCCCCCAGAGTGCATGAGCGCTGTTGCACGGGGATGTGGCAGATGCCTGGCTGCTTTCACAAATAAGTGATCGCTTTGGTAGTTAAAACCTGGAAGGGCTACAGACACAGCCGTCTTGGAACTTGGCTGAAGGCGGCAAACACTGCCGTCTGTTCCTCTTCCCCTGCTTCAGAAAGCATTTGCTTCCAGAGCCGCAGCACTGGGATTCCCAGGCCTGTGGGGAGGAGCGGATGGCGGGAGCAGACGGCACTCTGTAATGATCACTGGAGCAATCTGTTCAATGGCTTTCAGGTTTTTTGAAAAACAAAACAGCCTTTAGTTTACTACCTCCCTTTGGCTCTGCCTGAGGAGAAGGTGATTGTGAGTTCCGCCCTCACGGAGGGGACCGGAAGCCCTGTGCGGGGTGGGGTGAGCCTGCCTTCATCAGGCCTTTCTGCCTGTTGCATTCCAGATCCGTTCTTCCCCCTCTCCTTTCTGGTGAACAGCTGGTTTCCAGGCATGCTGGACGATCTCTTTCAGTCTGTGTTCCTGTGTGCCTTGCTGCTCTTCTGGCTGTGCGTGTACCATGGGATACGGGTTCAGGTGAGCACCAGCCCTCAGCGCTGCCAGTCCAGACTCTGGCAATAGTCCTTGAGGTAAACTTCTCCTTGAGAATCTGTCTTCAGCCTCAGTCAGCAGAAGCTTGCATGCTATGTGGAAATGCTTTTACCTATGATCTAGTATGGTCTGCTAGACGCTAATGGTTTGGTAGAATTACTAACTTATTTCTTACTTTTTTTGATTTTTAGGGAGAAAGGAAGTGTTTGACTTTCTATTTACCTAAATTCTTCATTGTTGGACTATTGTGGTTGGCTTCTGTTACACTAGGAATATGGCAGACGTGAGTAATTTTGTTATGTGTGAAACTTCAGGCATGAGAAGCATTTGACAAAGGTGGGAAGATCCACAGTCTCACTATATTTTGTGAACTCATCTGGAAAGGAATCTGTCACCAGGGTATCAAGACTGGATAGTGTGATTTGAACTGAGGATTCATTTTTGCTTGAATGTCACGTCAGGTAACACAGGCCTTATAGTCTAGTTTGGAAAATGAAAAAGTATGTGTCATTTTAGCTTGCCCTTCAAAGTGGCAAAGACATTGTCTTTAGGAATGACGCTCAGGGGTCCTGGCTCATCCCTGCCCGTCAGAAGCTTTAGTTTCTCCTTGGGCTTACATCTGTAAACTCCCATCCCTGCACCAGCTCCCAAGGCTTGTTGATATTAGTAGTTTTGTCCTGTAAACTGGGACCACTGTAGAAGCCTGATGTGGGCACAGCCTGATGCATCCAAGTAGGATTTTCTATAGAAATGAGTTCCATTTCATGGCTATGATTTTGGCACTTGGCACGTCTGACTTCATGGCCCATGACAGCACTCAGCCCACCTCGTCTCCCTTCCCCGTCCCTGCCTGCCACCTCAGCTACCTAGTTTCATTTTAAAATGAGTTGCATGGTGGGGTGCCTAGGGGACTCTGTCGGTTAAGCGTCCGACTTCAGCGGAGGTCACGATCTTACATTTCGTGAGTTTGAGCCCACATCAGGCTCTCTGCTCTCAGTGCAGAGCCAGCTTTGGATCCTCCGTCCCTATCTCTCTGCCCCCTTCCCTACTTGTGCACACTCTCGCTCTCAAACATAAGTAAACACTTAAAAAAAATGAGTTGCATGGAAGTTGGTATTTACTTTTATAACTTTCTTTGTGTACTCAACTATTCCCAGTGCCCATGAATGCCATTGAAAAGGTGCCTGAAAACAGTTTTTGACCTTGCAAGAGAAATAGTATAGGGATTTCTTTGAAATGAAAAATACTGCAGCCTCATAGTACTGATGACTATGGGAAAACAATTAAGTTTAGTAGCACCAGATGCATTTTCATTGTGAAATTTGGGGTTTCTTATAAATTTAGGATTATTTTTAAAAATCTTTTACTGTTGGTTAGCAAGGAGTTTATGTTAATAAGTTTCTTAAAAAGCCAAGTGAAAGTATAAAATGGAAAGTACTAGTTATTAATCTATGATATTTTTTATAATATTGTATTTTCAGAGTTAATGAATTACACGATCCAATGTACCAATATCGAGTTGACACAGGAAATTTTCAGGTAAGAATTATTAATGATGCCTGGTGTTTTTTTTAAATGCCGTTTTTCAAAATTACTGAACTTCGTAACTTAAATTGTGTTAGGGACATGAGCTCATTGGCTGGCACTTTGGGGGAGAATGCAGAAGGTTCATGGGTGCAAAATTTGGAAAAAGGTATTTGAATAGTATAAAAAATAAGCTTTTAAAAACAAAGTTGTTGCTTCCATTGCTTGGTATATGGTTGAGGCACAGACGAGGTGTCAGATTTAAGAGCATTGTAGAACAATTAAGAAGACATTTTTGTTTGTTTAATTCTCTAAAATAGAGGAAGGTTTCCAGCTAATGAATGATGTGGCCAGGCCGGCTCTGTAGGCGTGCAACCCGGGCAGTCACAGGGCCCAGCACCCTGAGTGATGCTCTGCTCTTGCCAACCCAGAATTCTTTATACTTTCGAACAAGGGGTCCTATGTTTTTATTTTACACAGAGGTTCACAAATGGCAGTCAGCCCTGAGTGCGGCTTTCCCTTGAGTCTCTAGGTTTATCTGCATCCCTCAGATAAACAGGCAGCCCCTGTCACACGCAGCTGGCTGCTCAGCCCGGGTATGGATGTGCGTAGGGCTGGTGGGAGGCGGGGGGCGGGGGGGGGGGGGGGGGGGGGGGGGGGGGGGGGGGGGGGGGGGGCGCCGCAGAGGGAGCCCTGGGAGGAGTCTAGGAGGGATGTTTCCAGCAGGGCAATCCCAGAGGCACAGAGTTGAACTCTGAGCTTGGTGACAGCCAGCATTTCTCTGATGCTTTGCAGAGCTTCCTGTGAAGTGATAAAATCTGTGGCTCTTTATGGGAATGGCCTCTGAGAAAGAGGGAGGTTTAGTGAATGATGGTATCTTGAAAGATGTATAATGCGTGTTGAGACTACACATGTCATAGCAAACAGAATAAGCCCTGATTCTTAATCGAATTTCAGCAGGGAAGTGCCAGTAGCCTTTCCATTCCATTATTTAGAAGTTTGAGGAGTTTTGAAGGTCAGTCAATGAATGCCTTTTGAGCAGCATGCCATGATTCTTGCTCTCAAAGAATGTGTGACCTTGTGAGGGAGAAAAAGCTTAGAAATAAGTACAGACCAGTATTGACAAGTGTGCAGTGTCCTGACAGCTGTATCCTTACATACAGTGGGCCCAAGTTACAAGTTATTTGTGTTTTGTCCTTTTTCTTTGTCTTTTATTTAGCCTTATAATGCTTTAATAAGTTTTTTGTGGGGAGGGGCTGCACCTGGAGTGGAGAGTAGGGGAGGCATTCTGGGCCAGGGAAGGGAGGAATTGTTCCAGACTTGTATGGGGCCACAGGGGGAGGAGGCCATGCAGGAGACCTGAGTCAGGGCAGACTCAATGGGGTCTGTGCTCGGGAAGGGCACCCGCACCCTAGGAAGGCTTGAGGCCCTGTGTATGAGGGGCTGGGCTTCAGAGAAGCCTTTTCTCCCTGAGGGCAGGGCACTAAAGGAAGGGACAGGGAGGAGCGGCTTTGACACATTCTTATGAAGATTCTACAGACCCCAGTGATGGATCACATACTGGGCTGTAGGTTAAGCATAATTCCCCAGATTTAGATGAAATAATATAAATTCATGCTAATCTGTTATTGGAGCTTTTGTCTGGTCCAGTCCCCTCATTTTTCATATGAGGAAACTGAGGGCGGTGAAAGGTCTTGCCTGAGGCCACTTGGGGCCAGTACCTGGGCCAGTGTGCCCAGCTCCCTGGATGGCCTTCGGGGTAAAACCTGTGTCCTGGGGGCAGCATCCCAGCCTGTTTCCCTCTGTAAAAGGGGGCAATGCTGCAGTCTTAAAGAGTTGTTGTGTGGGTCGAATTGACCAGGAATTCAAAGCACATGGCCAGCACTTAGAAGGACTTGAGCAAGGCAGCTGTCACCTGTCCCCTTCTCAATCAGTGACCTACGTCTGTTACTAGAGAAAACACTGGAAACCAGAGACTTCTAGGAAGCTGAAAAAAGCTGAAGACCCAGCACTGGTGTATTGAGCACCTGCTACGTCCCAGGCCCTGTGCTAGGAGCTTTCCATGTGTCATGGAAGGAGCTTGGATTCTCGCTCATCTGATGAACGAGGGCTGGGGATGCCCACCCAGGTGAGCCACCCGTGCTCACAGATAGGGTGAGAGGCTGGGTCTGGATAAGGAAGTCACAGTGGTGGGAACACATCCTTGTTCTGTGTTACGGAGTGACCTTCAGGATTCTAGGCTCCTTTTAAAAATGTTTGGTTTTCCTGCTTGTGGTGGTATTGGAAAGAGGAGCAGCACTGAGCCCGTTCTTATTCGATTGCCCATCTTGTGTCGTTCTAGGGAATGAAAATTTTCTTCATGGTGGTGGCAGCTGTGTATATTTTATACCTTTTGTTCTTGATAGTGCGGGCCTGTTCCGAGCTACGTCACATGCCTTATGTAGGTAAGTGCCACATCACAAATTGCCCAGGGCAAGGTGAGCCAGGAGTTGACCGCACATGGTGGGAGGAGTGGGTGGGAGGAGTCCACCCAGCAGGAGGCCTGACCTGGATGGGGACCCATCGCATTCCCTCAGGCTAGAGACCAGTGCCTTTGGTCCCTGGGGAGGTCTGGTATCAGGGCTGACTGGGTAACTGTGAGCCTTTTGGACAGTGCCTTAGGCCAGCACTGAAGGGAGGCCTGTGGGGTAGAAGCCACCTGGGGCCCTGGGTGCCATTGTGGCTTTGGAGCTGCCTGGATCCTTCCAGAATCATACCTGTATAGAGGAGGTGGCCATTGTGGTTTTCCTGGTCCTGAATCCGGGCAACTCACCTGATCTCATAGGATCCTTTCCTTCAATCCGTCACAACCAAATAATAATGGCCATGGTCTCTCTGGGAGGTGGGATAGCATTTCTTCTGGGCTTCAGGTACACACAGGCTTAAAGTCCAGACAGAGGAGGGGTTTTGTTCAGGAGGCTTTGTTTATTTTTGTTTTTATTTTTAAGGTCTCTGAGCTGAAAATGGAATTTACTTCCAATGTGGTTTAACGGGGTATTTAATTTCTTTTTCAGATCTCAGGTTAAAATTTTTGACTGCATTGACTTTTGTAGTACTTGTCATTAGGTAAGAAGACTTTATTTTTTTGAAAGAAACAAAACCGTGAATTTTATTTTCCTACCATGAATATCTTTCTCCCCCTTTTACAAAGTTAACTTTAGGGCATTTCTAGCCAAACATATTCACTGGGTCAGAGAGCCTCTTGCCCAGGGCAGGCGCTGAGTGTGCACAGTGGTGGAGCGAGTACAGTTGTGTTGAATGTGCCCTGGGGGATGAAGAACGTTGACTTGAACCCAGCCGGTCCAGTGCTGGGGGAGCTCACTACTTGCTCTGATGTCACCACGTAGGTGGATCAGCCACAGAGCAACTCAGGTTAAAGAATTAGAACACCACGCATGTACTTGGCACCTGGCATCCTTTTGGTGCTCTAAGTAGAGGACTAAGTACCATAGGTGTCCTTGAACCCCATGTGGTGGCCCCGACAGGAAGGGATGCTGTACCTGGAGACTACGAAGGCCCAGGTGACCCAGTTGTCCCTGTGAATCAATGCCAGATCATTGTTCGGTCGTTTGTGGTTTGTCTCTTTCTGCTAAAATCAAAATCCAGAGGGAAAGAAATCTAGTTACCTGCTTTTCTCTCTTGGTTGTTTGGGTGGCGAATAAATGGCAGCCAGCCCTCTTCTCTGGCCCGAGCCACACTGGGCTCTGAGAGGCCAGCTTTGCAAGGAGGCGCTGAGGTCCCCGGCTGCTTGAGCAGGCAGACTCCTGTGGGCACCTGCGTCCCTTCCCTTTCCCAGGTTGTGCACATCACTCATCACACTGCGTGAACTCAGCGTGGGCTTCCAAGTGAGATCCTTCAGAATTTGCGTTTGCCTGAAAACAACAGTGCCCGTATCACGCAGGCGGGCCCTCTTCATCTCTTGGTGCGTGTGTTGTCTCCCACCTCTCCCATGCCTCCTCTCACACACTCCGTCTCTCACACACGCGCTCTCTCACACACCCTCACGTCCTTCAACACCTACCCATACTCCTCACACACCTCTCACACAGTCACACACACACTCTCACACACTCTCACACACTCTCACCCTCTCACACACACACCCTCGCTGCCCCCCCCCCCCCATCCTTACCCTCCTGCTACCCAGTGCACAGGTCAGGAGTGGGATACTTGTAGTGCCCTCCAAGGAGTCTTAGAAGTTGTTATGCCTTCATGGTCTTTCTTCATACAGGTTCAAGGGGATTCGTTTATTTGCCCAGCAGACCTGTACCGAGTGTCTGCTCCCTGGTCAGCAGGCAGACATGTTCCTCCCGATGGTGGTGGTTCTACTCCAGGGGAGGAAGACGGTGACAAGTAAATAGCAGTCCCGTCGTGAAAACAGATGTGATGATGGCAGGAGAGGCTGTGCTGCAGGTGGGGAGGGGAGAGAACGTCTCTCTGAGGAGGTGACGGAGGCCTGGCGATGAGCCCTGGAAACACATGGGCGCTGGGGACAGCAGGTGGCTTGGGGAGGAGAAGGAGAGGAGACATCGCAAGAGGGGAGGCCGGGAGGGAGAGAGGCCACCGGAGAGGTCAGGGCAGGGTCCGCAGGCCGCCATGAGGAGTCCCAGTTTGTTCTCGGCGGTGGGAACCCTTTGGAAGGGTCGAAGCCCAGAGGTGAAGGCTTAGATTGTCAGCGATCAGTCAGGCTCCCTGTGGAGGACGGGCTGCGGGGAGGGGAGACGAGCACAGGGGAGCGGGTTCGGAGGCTGCGGAGCTCCGTGTCAGGACCCTCGGTGGTGGCGCGCGGCCGAAGGCGGGTGTGGGGTGTGCGCACAGGGGTGCGGCGCCGCCTCACCGTGAGAACCCCGCGCGGAGGAGGGGCACGTGCCCGAGGAGCCGCGGGCTCCCCTCCGGGCGCTGTCGTCTGCTGTGGGGACCCGTCTGGGAAGCGTCCTCGAAGGCGGCTCGAGAAGGGAAGGAGGACGCGGCGGGCGCTTCCGGCCCCCGAGGCGAGGCTGCGACGCGGCCTGTGTCAACGTTAACCGATTCTACCCCAGCCAAGGCAGGGTTGGTGTGCGCGTGCGCGTGTTCGGGCGCGTGTGGGCGCGTGCGTGCGCGCGCACTCGGGCCGTGCAGACCTTGTAGCGAATGGACCGTGTGAATAGGGTGAGTGGAAGGAGCTCTGGGAAGCTAGTGCCACTTCCTCGTGTATTTTTACCTACTGTTCCTATCCCCTTTTTTCCAGCATCGTCATCCTTTATTTAAGGTTTGGAGCGCAAGTATTACAAGACAATTTTGTAGCTGAACTGTCAACTCACTACCAGAATTATATCCTTTCAATGGGAGGTGGCCGCCGGCCTTCAGGAACACGCTCAGCGTGGAGTGGTTAGCGTGTTAGGTCTGCCAACGTGAAGAAGACGCGGGCCCCAGCGCTGTGGTGCCCTGTGGACTGCGGCCCCGCCACCGCCCTCCTCTGCCCTCCCTTGCCCTCCCCTGCCCTCCCCCGCGGGCAGCGGCCCAGGCCCAGCAGGGCCAAGCTGTCCCAAGGGACCCCCGCTCCCCAGCTGCTCTCCCCGCCACCCTGCTCTCCTGTCCGCCTGCTGGGGATTCTTTAGGAACCCAGGCTCCATCCAGAGCCTCGCCTCAATCCCGGTGCCCCCTTCTGCCCGCAGAGCACCGAGGGAGACTGAGCCTGATGGGAGAGTCCTTTGTCCCCATCACTGGGGTGTGTCCAGCTGCAGTGTCCACAGGTGGTGGAGATTAGGGCGGTTTAAGCCTGTGTCCCCAGAAAGGGCTCAGAAGTGCCGGCTCCCAATGTGCCTGGGGCCAGTGGGGTGGGCTCCTGGGCTCCGAGCTAAACCTTCGGCTGTCTGGCAGCTTAAGTGTTCTTGCCGCACCCTCCCCTCCCTTTCTGTGATGGCATCCATCAGGGGGCGCTTTGGAGTTTTCATCCCTTATATCTCAGGTTCTTCCCCTGGGCCTTTGTACATCCTTAGAGTTCATGCAGGATTTGTCAAACTTCAGTGACTGAATTTCACACTGAACTTTTATCAGAGGAGTCCGTAATGCAGAGAAGGCGAAGAGAAACTGGTTCGAGAAACTGTTTCCCATTCTTCCTTTCAGTCTTGGTTTACCCATATGCATGCGTGGCCTTTCTGCCCTTTGGTCCTGCCACCTCCAGAGGTTTCCATGGAAAGAAGACAGACGGTGCACCTGTTGTTCACAGGTGACCTTGAAAGGTTATTGTAACGTCCAGCTGTGGGCTTGCCCTGTGGCTTCCTGCCGTCTGGGCTGTGCAGCACTGAGGTACTCACTGCTGGTTAGCAGTAGCAAGGACTGCAGGTGGTTGGACAGAGGCAGCCAGACTGAAAGCAAAGACGCCAACTGAATACGCAGTGTTTGGGGCTGCTTATTTCCCTTAACCGGTATCACCAGCTGAATTCTTATCTTTCTATGGCTTGTTGAACTTTTACCTCTACACTTTGGCCTTCGTGTATTCTCCATCGAAGAACGCCCTATATGGTAAGCCTCTCCTGGGGCCAGGACGCTGGCCAGATAGCTCCACAGAAGTTCAGGACCCACCTCCTGGGTCCCCTGTTAGTGCTGGGCACTGGGTCTCTTTTATTCATTCATTCATTCATTCATTCATTCATTCTGTATATTTTTTATAATTTAATCCAAGTTAGCACATGGTGCAACAATGATTTCAGGAGTAGATTCCTTAAGCCCCTTACCCATTTGGCCCATCCCCCGCCAAACCCCTCCAGCAACCCTCTATTTGTTCTCTATGTTTAATAGTCTCATGTTTTATCCCCCTCCCTGTTTTATATTATTTATGCTTCCCTTCCCTTATGTTCATCTGTTTTGTATCTTAAAGTCCTCATATGAGTGAAACTGTATGATATTGGTCTTTATCTGACTTATTTCGCTTAGCATAATACTCTCTAGTTCCATCCACATAGTTGCAAATGGCAAGATTTCATTCTTTTTGTTTGCTGAGTAATACTGCATTGTATACATATACCACATCTTCTTCATTCATCCATCGATGGACATTTGGGCTCTTTCCATACTTTGACTATTATTGATAGTGTTGCTGTAGACATTGGGATGGGCACCATGACTGTTTGGCAGAGAGAGACACGAGGTCAGTTGCAGCGTGAGCTCTGAGGCATTAGAACATGGTATGTGCTGTGTTATTACATAGTTAGTGGGTCTTAGCACATATGAAGTCAAGTCTATTGGAGACCAGTGCCATGGCCATTCAAGGAAAGCCAAGGTGCCAGCTCCCCACCCCCCACCCCCCAAAGAAGAACTAAACTCTCACACAGGCAATGAGAAGGATGAGAACCTTCTGGAATGTGGGCAGGGAGATAGCCTTTCGGGACCACCACCTGACTTTCATGTTGTGTGAGCTCTCAAAGCGCCTTCATGAAAATGTCTTGTTTGAGCCTCACAGCATCTTTATGATGAAGATGCAGTTACTCCCATTTGAGGTGAAGAAACCAGACAGAGGTTTGCTTCCCAAGGGCGGGAGGGAGGGCAGGCACCTCTGGTCTCCTGGGCATTTTCCGCCCCTGCTACCTGTGCGGACTTGGGAGAAAGTCGCCGGGTTGCAGCTCCTGTCCGAGGGCTCCCCTGGTGCCTCTTTTCTCCCGGTGCTTCCACCAGTTGGTCTGCCCGGTGGCCTGCCCGGTGGCAATGCTGCCCCTGGCTTGTACATGAGAAAGCACGCTGGGGAGGCGAGATTTGTTCAGGTCACATAGATAATAAATGCTGGAAGCTGGGATTTGAATCCAGCCCTTTCTACTCCTGTCCTTTTTCTGTAGCATCCTGCCTCCCTAGGCTCATGCATGAAAATGCTCTTTGTTGGTTTTCAGAGTCCCAGCTGAAAGACAACCCTGCATTCTCCATGCTGAATGACTCCGACGATGATGTGATCTATGGGTAAGTCACTGCCTCTCTGAAAGCTGTGCTATAGCAAGCACTCGGCCTGGGTGTATGGAACAGGTGTTAACAATCCTAAAATGATTTTCAAGGCATTATGACCTTTCTTTTACCTGGGAGTGTCATGTGATTCCATGGTTTTCTGTTTTCACATTGTTCTGACTAGATGGAGTGGCATTCCTTTTTTTGAACACTTACCACGAGTGGTGACCACAGGAGGAACAGTTCATTCTGGCGTTGAGCCCTGATGCTTGATGGGGGTGGGGCGGGGGGTGAGGAGCAGGTGGGGGCAGTTGGCTATAGAAATGGGGAGCACAGAGCTATGAATGTGTTCTTGCTAGAATGGCATGTCAGTGTGGAAGAGGAGAATAAATGAGGAGCTGTCAAAAGCCGAGTGGCTTCAAAGGTCTCTTTTGTGACAGGAGTGACTATGAAGAGATGCCTCTGCAGAACGGCCAGGCCATCCGGGCGCAGTACAAGGAGGGGTCTGAGAGTGACTGAGCCTCGGGCTGTCCTGCAGCACCGCTTCCTGGCCCTCCGTGCTCCTGCTGGTGTTCAGGCTTGTGTCGTGAGCAGAGATTTTCCGGTCCTTACTTGTTTACGTATTTTTGAAAGGAAAACCAAAACCAAGGATAAATTTAAACATTGGGCCAAATTTATTGTTAGAGTGGCTACATTTGTTTGGGAAGAGAGGTGCTGATGAAAAGTGTAAACAGGCAAATCCTTCTTCAAGGGTTTCAGATGAGAAAGGATTTGTTTTTAGTGGTGAGGAGGAAATTACTCCTGTTTTTAGTAGGTTTTTTTTTTTAAATAATTTGCTAACTCCAAGTCCACGGAAAGCCCTTATGAATGAGGTTGTCAGCATGGTGACGTTCTCTCTCTCTTCCTTTTTTCTCTGCCCTGTACCAGTTTCGACCCTTTAAACTCTAAGGGAAGCCTATTTTTGTGCCTGTCTCATGAGGGCAGCCTGAGTGGCCAGCGCTCTGGATAACCACGCATGTTAAGTGACTCGTAACTTGTCTGTTGTGTGAAATTTGTGTCATGTCTCACTAGAGAAATGGTGGGCGAGCCGGTTCTAGCCCTTCACTGCCCACCCCCCACCCTGCCCCCGGGGGCGGAACTGGCATTGTGGGCTTCTGAGGAGGACTGGGTGAGCTTCATAAGGAAAGGGTAAGAAAATTGACAAGTGCCAGCTCTTGTTGGGTGAGGTCTTGCTACCATACAGTTTTCCAAGAGCCTGTGTACACACGTGTGTGCATGTGAGGGTTACATGTATGAATATGAATGGATGTTGCTGTGATTGGGGTGGGGAAGAGGGTATCCATTACAGTTCCCATGAGCTGTAGTTTCTACAACTCCATGAAAGATGACACCCTGTGGAACTTTATTTTTTTCATAAAAGCTAAACAAAGGATCGATAAAATATTATAGTTTCTTTACTGAAAAAAGGTTTTTCAGTTCCTCATTTGGAACCTAAATGAAAGAAAGTAAAACATTTTTAATGACTTGTGGAAGGAAGCACATCTTTGGGTAGAAGGTCACTTGATGGGAATCATGCCCCACCCTCTCGGCCTCATATGGTGGCCTGGGAAGATGATGGCTTGCTCTGGAAAAGAAAAGTTGTCTGAATCTGTGGCATCACAGAAGGCCCTGGAGAGTTGCCAGTTCCTTTTTGTCAGAGACTAAGTGTAGAAGTCTGGTATAGATACCTCCTTTGCTTTTCCTTTGACACGCACAATAATGTCTGTCTTGAACTGTTGACATACGATCATTGCTAACATCCTGATTTGATGGCATGGCACAGGATAGGATTGTTCGGCTCTGCAAACAGTACCTACATTTTCTTCATCTATGCATTAACTCTTAGATTACCGAGCTAAAAATCGGATTTCACTTTAGACAATGCTGGAACCTTTTAGAGGTTCATGAGAGACTATTCATTATGACTTTACCTCTTTGTGTTTAATTTAAACTTTAGTGATAACGTACCTTTAATATGGATTCCATTTAAATTTGTTTTTAAAACCCTGTAAATATGAAAGTTTGAATTAAAACAACTGTATTATTGCAAGGGTAATTCGAGTTTACATGGTTTTTACATTTTCAATGGTGTGATCTTTTTTTTTTTTATTGTATTCAGTGGTATTGGAAAAACTTTTCTGTTACCAAATTTTTCTTCTACTAACTATAAATAATTTTATGTAAATTGATGAAAACTTACTTGGACTGATTAATGTATTCTAGTATGTGATATAGTTTACAGGTTTTAATCATTATAAAATAACTGTCCATAATTTGGAATGCTGTTATTTATCAGTAAACTACTTGAGGCATTTAGCCATACACGTTAGAACTTTTTAAACCTTGTCTTTGTCCTGTAGTATAATTATAAACTGATGACTGATAATCTTCATACTTGAGTCTTCATGGTATCAAGTCAATGAAATGAAAATATGGGAGTATTTATTTACTTTTTATAACTAAGTTGGAGACAAAAAAGGTATAAAAGTAAGTACTTAAAGGGAAAATGGTTCTTTGTTAAATCGTGCATTTTGGATCTCTGGTGCATCACATGTATCAACAAATTACACACTCCATGTAAAAATTTGCTTAAAGTATATAGCATTTAGCATGTATTATATATGCCATAGATATTAGGTTCAAACACTAAAGTCTGCCGGAAACTTTCGGCAGTAGCAAGAAAAAAACTTTTTTTTCTTTGGAGAGTATCAAAGTTTTGCAAAACTTAAATTATAAATTCAGAGGGCTGACTTCAGTTCTTGCATGGTAATGGCTTGTATAACATCATCTTTGGGATAATTTTTTATACTGGTCCAGTCTAGGGGAATCTGGAAGGTGCCTGTCGGTATTTCAGTTTCCCTAGGGAGAGCATCATTATCCATGTGGGTAATAGGTCTGCTTGATTTATTATTAAATCATTACAGCAGTGAAGTGATGCAGTTTTCTCTCTCTTAAGCCCCATTTGAAAGGCTAGAGAAGGGAATATATAAAATATATTCAAGGTTTGTAAGATTGTTCCTGTACATAATTACAGATTGCAATAAAAGTTAAGATACACTATGTAAACCCAGCCCACTAAATGGGCAGGTTACAAGACAAATGTCACCAGCCTCAAGTATTTCCTGAACTATTTACTGAAGGTACAGTTGTTAAATGGGTTACGGTGTGGTCAGTGACTTGTTTCCTGGAATCCTTCTCACAGGGTAAACCACGGGAGCTCATAGACAGGATGACAAGAGATAGCTAGTACATACTTAAGCCACTAAAGAATATTTATGTATTTTGAGGATTTTAGAAACCAGTTGCCTTAGAGGTTAGACTTTTGGAAAAAAAAGATGTTAATCTTTTCCCCAGGCCAAAGGGAAGTCGCTTTCGTCTGTGACATCTTGTTATCCTGTTCATGTTGACCTGACAGGTTTTAGATATACTGGTAACTATAATACCACACAATGAAACAGAATTTTCTGCTACTGAAAACTGCCTTTTTACAAAAAGCCTGTAAATATTTGTAAAATAAAAACAACTTTAAGCTCAGAAGAACGAACTATGTATTAGGTCTTGGAACTGTGTCAGTGAGCACAGTAACACCTGATCACAGAATGATCATTGTAATCAATCAAAAGTGAATAAATGTTTGTTTATGGCAAACTTACACTTTGGAAATGGCTTCATTCTGAGACTTTCTGGTAGATGTTAATAAATTTGAAACATTCGGTCCTTATTTATATGTGATGTATTTGCTCTTGTGTGTGGAGTTAATTTGGCCATTCAGACATGAGTGCTTCAGGGACAAAAGGAGAGCTTTTTTCATTTCAGCAAGTGGATATAGAAGCCTGTCTTTATTACAGTGTGAATGTGCCTGTGGATGAGCACTGAGAGGAGGTCACAGACTGAGGCTTGGGGCCCACCCCTCCCCTTACTTGGATAAGATTTTAAATCAGATAACCTCCAAACATGTTTACTGACTTATAAATAATGGTCTAATTGTGGACACAAAGTGAATGTTATGAAAGCATCTTGGAAGCCCGGATGTACTAAAACATGTTTTTGGTGATTGATTGCTACTGAAAAATGGAGACTGGGCAGCATGTGGGGACCAGAGCTCTCTGGCTGGAGTAGGAACCAGCTCACCCACTCCCAGAAGCCAGTGGAATCCTGGTCCTGCGGGTAAAAGCATCAAATCATTGTACTGAGAAGACCAAAGCCAAACTGTAACTTTTCCTTTTTTGTTTTTGCAGTTTTAGATTCTGAAGTCACTAATGACATTGAAAGAATTCATTTGTGGTGTTATTTAGACTATGAAGAAAAACACAAACTTTAAATTGGAATAATTTATTACTCTAACCAAAGTACAAAGTGTGGAAAATTAGTGTATCTGAATCATTCAGAGTAGAGAAAGTTTCAAACTAGCAGATTTCAGTTTTTAGCACCTTTGAAAAGAAACAGTTAAGACGAGTGGCAACAGAGGCCTGACTGCCTGGGAGGGCAAGTCCTCGGACCTGGGGGTGCTGTTCGCAGAACAGGGCCAGCCTTCGGCTTTTCTCTCCATCTGGAGAGCGCCCCGAGAACCACGCTGAAGGAGCACGAGAAAGGCGTTCACCGGCCTCCCGGAGGGCCGGGAGCGGAGTGGAGGGTCGGCCGCGGCTCAGATGGACAGCCCGAAGGCGCTAACGATGCAGTACATGGTCTTGTTCTCCCACCGCACAGTGCAGCTGCCTGTGGGGAAGAAGGCACAGCGTCACTCAGCTCAGGAAGACGGGGGCTCGCTAGTCTGACTTGTCACCTTTCTTCACGGCACCCAAAGAAAGCAAGCCAGTAAGTCTCTTCTAGGAAATGTGTTAAAGGTGAGTCTAATAATAAGCATGCATTCAAAAAATTTGTTTTGAGAGAGAGAGAGAGAGAGAACGCAAGCAGGGGAGGGGCAGAGAGAGAGGGAGACACAGAATCTGAAACAGGCTCCAGGCTCTGAGCTGTCAGCACAGAGCCCAACGTGGGGCTCAAATTCATGAGCCACGAGATCATGACCTGAGCCGATGTCAGATGCTTAACTGAGTCACCCGGGCGCCACTAATAAGCATGCATTCCAAACAAGGGAAATGTCCAAGCACACACTTCACAAAATACTGCGCTGAATGATCTAGATCTCAACAGGATCAAGGAGGTGCCTCAAGGCCTTCAGGGAAAAGAAAAGCCCACGACAAGCCTTCACAAAACACAGGGAAAACCATACCGTCCGTAGAGCTGTCCCAGAAGCAGGAACTTGCTGTGTGTAACCCTGCTCCGTTCTTCTGCATAATTACACAGGTCACTTCAATTAAAACAAACTTTTTATTAAGAGAGATACACTTGGCAACCCTACTTTAGCCTACTCTGGGCATATACATGCAGATCACGTGGTTGATGTGCACGATAAATATTATCAGGGTAGATTGGTCCTATGACAGTGACACATCACACCCTTCCCATTCCTTCACCACATG